GTCTTACCCAGGACATGGATGGAGTTTGTCATACCCAAGACAGGTCAAATTCAGTTTTAACATAAGTGAATTTATATTGAAAAAATGTTCTTTTTTAATCATATGTTTTTTCTTCTGCTAATAAAAGTACAGAAAATATTGTTTACTTTGTAGTTGATCAGATTGAAATGAGACAGGATTAATCAGTTTTGAATTAAAAATGTTATAAATGTTTGTTACAATCTTCTACTGTTATTATAATGATAATAAATTGTATTGATCCCTAAATTCAGATTTTGGGATGAATATCCATAAACAATTGACCGTTAGCTTGCATGATATTAGCATCCACCAAATATAAACGTGACATGACAGAGTGGGCCAATATCTGCACTAGAAAATCTACAGTTTGTATGTGAAGGAAACTGAAAAAAAAAAAAAATTAAAAAAATGGGTAGGAATCCTACCCAGACCCACTTACAGACCATAATTTTATGGGATCTTATAGTACTTACAAATGAAACAAAGCTACCAAACCAGACTGATCAAAGACCATAAAAACAGAATGTGATTTCTTATTGACATGGCAGTTTCTGCAAATTGCAATAAAGCTTTGAGGAACATAAAATTATCTAAATACAAGAATCTTGAAGTGGAAATTTTAATGTGGCACATGAAGACCTCAATAATGCCACTTATGGTTAGAGCTTCATTGAACTCTCCATACAACAGACATTTTAGAATGTGGTGTTCTCTCCTCTCATGCACTGCAGTTGGACCTTGATAAGGACAGATTGGATACTGGTGGAAACATTATGGTATGCTTCAAGGTTGGTGATGGGAACCTTCCACCATATTCTGAATATGGAGTGAAGTGGCTTCATTTTTTTGATGTACTTGCAGTACATGAACCATAATTTGCATCTGTAGAGAAGTGATGGAAAGACTCTTTCAGCTTTATTTAATACAATCTATCTTTTATATGTATGTGTGTAGTCAGGTAACGAGATTATTTAACTATATATTGAGGATCAGTGGTTGAACAGAATCTGTCTTCCAGGAAAAAGATCTGTTACTGTTTATTTTGTTGTTCATTTTGTTGTGAGAAGGTGTTAAGAGATGATGCCATGAACCAAAAGTTCTAAATCTAAAAGAAATAAGATTTAAAAGAGCAGAAGAGTGTGTCTGTGAAATATTTTTGGATTCAGATTGGTGATTACCTTTTGTCATTTGGGTTCTGGTTGGTGACTGCTCATTGCTGTTTGGACTCTGGTTGGTGACCGCTCGTCGCCATTTCTACTCTGATTGATGGCCACTCATTGTCATTTGGATTGTGCTTATCCTTTTGTATTTATATTACTTGAAAAAGCAAGAGTATCCTTTCCGTTCCATTTTTTTAAATATATTTTATCAGTGGCACATTGAAAGAAATTAAAGATAAAGCAAATCACTCTCTAACTCAATAAACATGAAAATTTAAATATGCATCCACTCTTTTGAGGCTTGCACTAAATATTGCTTAACCTGTTAACTGAGGTAGAACTTTTTCCTTTGTAATTGAGCCATAGAACTCCAATGGCAGAGATTCTCGTCATCTGCAGTTAATGGGTTAACATGTAAGATGATTAAGATTCTAATCTCACCTTGCACTAAAAGTGGCTCTAAATTGTATGACTGGTATTGGAAAGATTGAGATAATGTAGGTCTAATTGTTTCCAGTGCCTTTGTCTGTCAGCTTAAGTAGTCTAAATTGACTAGGAAATTATTTTTTCTCCTGTCTGATTTTTCTATAGTAGATCCAATTTTCTGTTTTTACAACTTGATAAAAATTTTTTTAACCTGCAGTTTGAATGGTTCTTTAATTATTGGAATGCACTTTGCACTTGTAATCAATATCTTAACATGAGCAATGTCTTAAGACATAAGAACAAATGCTTATTTTATTTTATTGATTGAAATATCTATTGAAGTTGCATTGCTGTGGCTTCTTGCCCTATATTTGAGTCTCAAAGTAGTTAATGTAAATTTACCAGAAATTCAATAATTGGCTTCATTATTATTTGGATTGGTGAAGCATTTTTTCTTTATTTGTACAGAGTTATCAATTGCAATTTGCAGTATAGAAAAAGTGAAATACCCCCCCTCTCCGGTTCTGTTTTCATCTTTAACTTCTTTGTCTGTAATTTGATTTCTATTCTGCAACTGTAATTATCACCAAATAGTCATTGATCACTCCTGCGGGATTGGGAAATTTTGGTCTGCTTTTGCATTAGGTTATATTAAGAAAAATACAAATAACTTCATGACCGTGTTGGGACAATAGATGACTTTTAGACACGCCTGTTTCAAATCTGACTGAAATTTAGGACATACACATATTCACTGTAACTTTTTATACATGCATTGTGAATATTAAATGTTTTTACATGTGCACATGGTGTAATGGGTAGAGGCTTCATACGAAGAATCAACAAGCCTGGTTTGAATTACAGTCAAGATCATTACATCCACTTTACAAATACTCTTGAGAAAGGTATGAATCCATCTCTTCTCCTCCACTCTCACCTATGGCTGGCAACCAGTATAGGAGAAGGATAACTCTGAACATAAAACCATATGTAGCACTTTTGAGGCACATACTCAGACTGTTAGTAAGGTCTGCGCATAATAGCAGTATAAACCACATGTTTGCTCTGTGGCTGATGAGAAAACACAAATGGATCCGAGTATATAGATTTGCTCAGAAGCAAGCAGCCATGCAAAAGATGAAAAATCACACTGATTTGTAATGTGGCTTAAAGTTGAGACAGCTCTGATCATATTAAAAGTGAAAATGTAAGATGTGATGCATTTTAATCATTTGATGTTCATTTATTTCCATAAAGAGGGAAAAAAACACTGTACAAACAGCAAAAATGATATGCCATTTCTGGAAATGAGAGTATAATTTGTAAGTGGTTTGCAAGGTTTAGAAATGTAAATTTGAACATGGAAGACAGACACTGTTCTGGCAGGCTGGCAGTCATTCATCATAACCAAATCTAAATACTGATTACAAATAATCCAGGTTACATGTCGTCCTGGGTATGACGATAAACTATGTCCAGTAGCAAGGCCTCTGATCAGGAGGTTTTGAGGAACGTGGAACTACCTCTTAATTGCTGATGTTCCCAGGTCCACCCTGACCCAGGGTGGTAGTACCTGTTAGGGTCCCAACTATGGGCAAATAGTTAACTCCTAAACTGGGGTCAAAACACTATGAAAGTGTAAAAATAGGTTTTAATACCAGAAATACTTTGTAAAAAAATTATTACCAGCAATAAATTATTGAAGAAAAAAAAAACAAATTATTATCAGCAATACATTTTTGAAAAAATATTAACAACAATGTTTTTAAAAAATAAATATTACTAGCAATAAATTTTTGAAAAGAATTATTACCTGCAATACATTTTTGAAGGAAAAATATTACCAGAAATAGATTTTTGACAAAACAAAATATTACCAGTAATAAAAATTTTGTCGACATTAAATAACCCATTGAGGTTGATATACTACTGTAAAACAAACCAAACCAGGTTACATAGCAGAGCAAGGCAATTGAAAACACCTGGATATGTGAATTCCTATGATGTTTTATATACCTTACAGTTTAGTGGGGGAAAAATTTAATGGACTGCATTTCGATTTGTGATTCTCTGCTCAGAAGATAGTGGAACAAAATGGTACATATGCTATTAGATAAATCTATATACAAATATCTAAGTAATGTCTTTGAAATTCATTTTAGAATACTCCAAACTTTTATCCTGACCCAATTTTCTCTTTAAATGAAACAAAATATATATATATATATATATATAAAAAACTTCAAATGTCATTTTTAATGGATAACCATATTTGTGTAGACACTCCATTTTAAACAGTATTTTGTCTATCAGCCTGCACACTTGAGGAAAATTATTAAAGAAAATCTACCCTCTGAAATGATTTAAACTTGTATGTGCCCCCCCCCCCCAAGTGTGCTTTAAGTGCTCAGCTATGAAGAGCTTCATAATTAAGCAAAGTTCTATTTGCCTTTTGAAGCACAGTGGTTTCTTTGGCAAAGAGTGACACAGGTTCCAATCCTGCCATATAGCACATTTATTTTAAGAATTTTTCTCAAGTGTGCAGGCTGGCAAATGAATTAAATACTGTTTGAAATAAAACACAATGTCAACTCAAATACAGGTGTCCTCTGAAAATAATAGGAGAATAAAAAGTTATATATATTAGACGTCCGACAACATTTATATTTCTCTTACTTTAACCCCTTCCACTCACCTCTTCTAAAATTCTCTCTGTTAAGGTTTAATCTCCCCCATTCTCTAGTATGTTACCCCTCATACTTACACTCTCTCTAAATTCTGTTTTTATTTCCAGAGTTGTTTTTTCTGTTTTCTTTTTGAATTTGTAGGTCTGATGAATTTGGATCATAATAAATTATGACCATTGAATATTAAGCCTTTTTATTATATCATTACTCTGTCCTGGACATTGAGTTCTACCTGGATTCTATCCTCTTGGAATTTTTATTAAAAAAAATATACATGTATGGGTATTCATATATTTTGCATATGTATGTATATTTACCACTAATATTATCACTCTCTCTCTCTCTATATATATATATATATATATATATATATATATATATATATATATATATATATATATAAAGATTTAACATTTTCTCCCAACAGTCTTCCCTGATATGACGCCAGGGAAGTCAGGAAAAAATGTTATTTCCCTACATGAACTGAATGATTTTGTTTTTTTATATTAAATGCTCCTCCTACTCAAAAAAAATTACATTGCCTTTATTGATCCACATCAAAAAAGGAAAAATTAAGAAAAAGGAAGTTGACTTGGTGGGCAGAGGAAAGATAATGGGCACACTTCAATGTATGTAAATTATTTAAAATAAAATGAAAATACTTATTCAACTTTTTGAAAGTGTTTTGTTTTTTTCTTATCCACAGGATATTTTCCTTTCTTGATGTGATTACACTCTGTAGATGTGCACAGATTTCCAAGGTGAGTTGACCATTGTTCTAGCTTTTTGTCTGAATGTGCTTAAACTAAACTGTTTTATGATAGCTTCCTTGTATTCCCTGTAATATATTAATTTATTGAGTGAAAATGAAAACCTGTCAAATCGGATTTAAATATGCTTACTCTAGCACAAAGCTGTTATATTGGGACACTCAAACTAGTTTCTCATGACTTGAGACAAGTGCCTAAAATAATTTATGAATGATACAACTGTGTGTGAATAATATATAAACTGCCAAGATAAAAACATAATCTATAAGACCACTGTGAAATTTGAAGGCAATTCTGGGGGGAAAAAAAAGTCCTATATTGGGTCTATTGAGAGGCCTTTCAAATAGAAGTACCATAATTATAGAAAATCTTCCAGCTTGGAGAGGGTAAAAGAATAGCGCTGGCATACTGAAGTATATATGGGAGGTCAGAGAGAAAACATACTCCTGTTGACAGAATGGAGTATCATTAAAAAGTGATAATGTGGGTGCAGGTTATTGTATGCTCTGTTAAGAAGTAAAATTGGCCATAGACACTACCCCCAGACTAAGTGGCAAATACTGAAATATTGGCAAGTTGCAAATGCAAAAGAAAATAACTTTTGACATGTGGCACCAAATTGAAGGGTTTAATTTTTTGTAGTGTTTAATGAGCTATACAAATTTGAGATCTTCCATGATATAAGACTGTGTTAAGTAAAATTGTTCTCAAGCACTTACCACCTGATGAGCTGAGTTGGTAGTAATGAGAAAGCAACTATTGTACATTTAAATTTGGTTTTTATCTTGCTCTGTTCTTCATTGAGCAGTTTTTGTTGCTGTAATTGTTTTCATAATGGTAAGAACTATCCCTGCTGCTTTTGATGCATGTGTCCAAATTCTTAATGTTGTGTAGTGTTTACGCTTATATATATATATATATATATATATAGTCATTGTGATGAACAAGGAATTTTTTTTATTCTACACTCTCTTACCCACCCTGCAAAAAGAAAACTGTATGAACATTAGGGAAAAAAAAAAAAAGATGAATGAAAAAAACTTATTGGCTTTTACTGGTCTGTCACATTCAATGAAATATGAAGAAAATAAAAATAGCTGCCCTAGTATACAATACAATATATATATAATGTTGTATATATGATCCAGTTTTGGATCTCACCATGGTCAATTTACCTGAAAAGTGTCTTCTTGATACTATTGATCTGAGGAGGCAATCCCAGCATGCAGTGCTTTTTAGAAAGTGTTTGAAAATCAAACCACAGTTTGACCCAATCCTTATGAGTGAAATTTGGTAGATAGAACTGGTGGTTACACTGGCATTAAGTCACAGGTTGTTGTGACCAAGGGTTTGAGTGTACTGATGTTCTTTTAAATTGCTTATGACCGATTTATGGACTCAGTTACAAAAACTCTATGGTTTGTTCAGCATAATTGCAGTATAAAACAGGTGGACTCTGTGGGTGTTGAACAAAAATATGTCTGAGCAGGTGTCTGCAACAGGAATTGGTTAACTACCCTAACAGATGTGTGCACATGGAAACAATACTAACCATATATATATATATATATATATATATATATATATATATATATATAAAATGTAATTATTTATTCAAAAATTATAACATAAATATGTTATAAAATCACTACAAAAATAGCCATTTTGTTTCAACACTTCTGGTGTCTTATCAAGTAATGGTGTTGAATGTTGAAGACCATGTTTAGAACTAGACCAATCATGTATAGTTTCTGAGCAGTTTTGTATACCCAAATATGAGTAGGTCAATTTGTCAAGGAGATGATTTTTTGATAATATCTGCTTGGGGAGATGATCCCAGAATATGGCAGTGTTGAGAAATGCCTGAAACCCACAGGTTGGCACAGACTTTGAGTGAAATTGGAGAGATGAAACAGTTTGGAAGTCATCGATGGTTGTGCTAGGAATAGTTAAATGCTAGTTGTTATATGTAAGTCTTTAAGGATTGACTTGGTTTGTGAGTAAATAAGTATTAGTTATTTATATTTAAGTCTCTAAGCATTTGGTAGGTGGTCCTCTTTTGATGGTGTGTGCTGGGCTGATATCTCTCACAAGAGAATGCAGTTGGCACATTCTAGGATAACATAAATGTGGTCATCATTTTATTATTTCACTATTTACACTTGTCATGTGAGCACATGATTCATAGTTACCTTTATTCTTTGTTAGCTTGCTAATTGTTACAATTACTCAAATTAGGCGATTGGCTGTGGCTGATAGAACATTAATGTTCCAACTATAAAACCCAAGTTCAAATGTCATCATGGTCAATTTATCAAGGAGGTGACATCTTGAGAATATTGGCTTCATGAAGCCATCTCAGTGTGAAGCACCATTGGGAAGTGCCTGAAAAGCATACTATTGGTTGACCCAGGTCTTTTGAGAAAAATTGGGTGGACACTTCAGAAGCCGTCAATGTTTGTGTTAACATGAAGTCATTATGATGAGGGTTTGAGTGTACTGGCCTCATTCAACTACTGATCACGCCAGTTTATGTGCTCTCTCCCAGAACCCAAATCTTCTGTTGATCCAAGTAACCTTCAAGATATTTAAAATTGAACCCTTTATCTACATCCTTTGACAGGGACTGGCAGATTTTTCAGATTCTGAAAAATTTACAGTAATTCTTAGGTCAATAATCTGTCATGTAGGTATACATAGACATGTATCTCCTAAAAAGTGCTTCCACTAAATTTGCTTTTTTAAATTGTACTAGAGAAATTGAGCAAAACTTATCAGGTTTTTAGATAACTTTGGATATGTTTTGGAAGCTAAATGTTGTTTTTTTTTTTTTTTTTTTTTTTTTTATGTAGATGTGAAGAAAAGTGCTTATTGTTGGGGCTCTTCATATGAGGGGAAAAATACATTTAGGAGTTGTGGGTGACATTCAGTAGTGTGAACAAGTTTTCAGTAGCAGTCAGTGATAATAAAATTTGTTTTATTATTTAAATTTTATTTTATTTCATTTTTAAAAAAATTTTTTGTATGTTTTCATCTGAGCTGAAGTGCTATTGATAAATATTTAAGACTATTAAAATGAAGACTGGAAGGAAACAAAAAAGCATACTTAAACAAACTGAAAACTATTTTTTTTTTTTATTGCAACTAGTCATTTAGTTTCAGTAGTTGAAGTAAAAGACAAGAATAAAGCAGATCATAAGTACTTTTGATGCTGCAGTATAATTGTATTTGATAACATATCAATTCTCTTTTGTCCACTGGGTGGGTGGGGAGAAAGTGTCCGAGAGGTGAATTTGAGATATCTGGTACACTAATACTTATCAAGATAAAGCAGACTAACAATACTTGTATATAGCCTAACTTAATAATACTGTAATATTAAATGCAAATTTTGGGGTGGTAGATGCTTATACTAACAAATACAGTATTTTGTCAAATAATTTTAACTAATAATTTCTCTCAATTTCTGGGATAATGAGTTATCATTATTTGCATTCAGACTAATGTCTTCATCTTTATTATTATTATTATTATCATCATCCCAGTGTTTTGGCAGTTGCACCTTCTGGCCTTTTATAGGTGTCTGTTGATTGAAATAACCTTCAAGTTGTTTAAAATTGAACTCTTTATTTAATCTACAGAGATAGATCTTGTTCCACTGTCACCCTGTGTCTAGGGATATCTCATTTTGCTCTCTTTTCAGTTCTACTCAGTTATTGCTCACTCTGTTTTCAAGTTTGTACTTTCTGGCCAAGAGATTGAACTCAATTACTATATTATCATCCACAAGGCTATTGTGCCATGGCTTTGTTTGATCTGCTTGTCATGTGCACATATGCATGCACACTCTTTCTGTTGATATAGGAATCAACACTGCATGGTGGCTGTTTCTTTTACAACACACAAAAAAAAAATCTTTATACTTCTGAAGATCACTTGAGGCATGAAACTGACATTCCTTATATGGTGTTGATTCCTATGTTCACATTGCCTAATATCTACACTCAACCTCATATTGATATTGAGAAATCCCCCTATATATATATATATATATATATAAAAAATACACACACACTGCGTATCAAAAATATTCTTAAAAAGTTTGAGGGTGGGTTCCTCACACCAAAACAAGGACAAAAGTCCATATAAACATATGTATGCAAATCCTTTGTTTTTGAGTTAAGTTTAAAGTTTACAGTAGACACTGTTAAATGTACAATCCAAAAATACTTTTACAAATTTTGGGGCTGGGTTCCTGAGACCAAAATACATTAAAATGTCCTGATAAACATATGACCAAAAGGTCATCATTGTATCTTAACAACAACTCATAACAAATGTTCAAAATGTCCTCCACTTGCTTTTACACGTGCATGCACCTGTCCTGTCATTGACTGACTGATGCTTTCAAATACTCCTGCATGGTGTTGAATGGCTTTGCAGACCCCCATGGCACATTGATGAGGCATTTCTGCTGTATAAACCAATTTTTTTAGACAGCCCCACAGATAATTGAGGTTGGGGGAACATGCAGACTATGGAACCGGTCCTCACCTGCTTATCCATTTTTTATGGTAAATGTCAGCCAGTGCATCACAATGTGACTAAAATGCGCTGGAGCCCCGTCATGCATGAACCATATGTGTCTTCATATTAGCAGGAGTACATCCTCTAGCATGTTTGGAAGTGTGTTCAAAATAAAGTCCTTGTAGACAACTCCTGTAAGACATGCTTGGAGAACATATGAACCTACCAGACAGTCACCTACAATTCCAGCCCACACATTGTGAACTGATGTTGGTGTCGAGCCATAGATCTGCCCACAAATGTTGGTTGTGTAAATTTGTTATTCCATCTCTTCCAAATGTTGCATCATCCATAAACAAGACTGAAGAAACAAACAATGGATCGGCAGTTTGTGCAATAAACCATTGGCAAAAGTTCTCCCATGGTGAGTGATCAGAGGGTAAAAGACCCTGCACATGTTGCAA